ACTAAAAAAAAGGCAATTAAAATGAGCACACATCTTTCCAGAATGACTATTCAAAAAGACTAAAAGAAAGAATTGTCAAGGATGGTGAAAAAAAAAAAAACCTTCTCAAGCTACTGCCTGCAATGCGAATTGGTAATGCCACTGGGGAAAACAGTTTGGAGATTCTCCAAAAAAGCTGAAACTAGAACTACCACATGACCCAGCAATTCCAATACTAGGTCCATATCCAAGAAAGATGGAATCTGTGCCAGAGAGTGCCTGCTCTTATATGTGCATTTGACATTAGTCACAATAGTCAAGATATCAAACCAAAAGCCAGGTGCAGTATCACATGTCTGTAATCCCAGATGTCCTGAGATAGAGATAGGAGAATCCAGAATTAGAGGCCAGCCTTAGCTACATAGCAAGCTCAAGTCCAACTTGGGTTACTAAGTGAGACCCCTATCTTAGAAAAAAAATAAGAAAGACCCACTTGGTATGGTGGTGTACAACTTTGATCCCAGCACTCAGGAGCCAGAGGGAGGTGGATCTCTGAGTTCAAGCCCAGCCTGATCTACAGAGCAAGTTTGAGCAAAGCTGAGGGCTACACAGAGAAATCCTGTCTTAAAAAACCAACAAAAACAAAGAAAACCCTAAACAAACAACAACCTGACATATGCATAACGGAATAATTAACCTTTAATAAAATGGAAGTGTTATTCAGTGTGACATGAATGAATCCTGAGGACATTAAACTGTGAAATAAGGAGTCATGCAAAGACAAAGAAGGAATGACTTTGATTCTATGAAGAACTGATTGAAACAGGGTTTTGCTCTATGATTCCAAGGCTGATGAAACTCCTGAGGTCAAATGATCCTCCGGCCTCAGCATACTAAGTGTTACAGTCACTGCAGAATGTAAAAAGGCCAATCTCACAAAAGCAGAGAATAAGGTGGAGGTATTTCAGTTAGAAAAATAAGACCCAGAGACGTACATTATTCACAATGACCACAGTGAAGAATAAGTCATTATTGTGTCTTAACTAGCAGTGTGCGCATGTGTGCGCGCACACACTCACACACACACACACACACGCACACACACACACACACTTTTTTCTTTTAAGACAGGATTTCACTGAGTAGCCCTGGCTTGCCTAGATGCCTCCTGGAGCATTGGGAACATCACATGCAGCCCTAATGGACCTCTTAGTGCCCAAGTTCGGACATGAAATCTTGTAGAAATTTCCTTTCATTATAGTACTGCTTAGGAGGCACCAAAATTCTTCCTTTATCCCTCCTGATAAACGGTCCCCTTCTATGTTATCAGTAATGGTTAGTTCCAGTACCTTTTGAAGAAGGTAGTTGGTCAGAAGCTGAGTTAGTATGTATTTATTGCTGCTCTAAGTGGCACTTTCTCACCATCCCATTAGGCCACATCCTCTTTGTACATCTCCTAGGAACATTTTCATCTACCTTTACTTCTGCCTAACACTGGCCTTCCAGATAGTAGTCGCATGCATTAACCTTAGTTTCTTAGGGTCTTCCTATAATGCTACAATAGATAAGACAGGCTTTGTTTAGGGTAGCCAGGACGTGGACACATTAACAGTGGGCTGGTGTCTTAGGGTCTTTATTGCTGTGAAGAAACACCATGACCACCACAACTCTAATAGAGAAAACATTTAATTGGAGTGGCTTGCTTACAGTTTCAGAGATTCAGTCCATTATCATCATGATGGGGATCATGGTGGCATGCAGGTAGATGTGTTGCTGGAGCTGAGAGTGCTGCATTTTGCAGGCAACAGGAAGTTGACTGATAGACACACTGAGGGAAGCTTGAGCAAAAGAGACCTCAAAGCCTGCCCCCACAGTGACACACTTCCTGCAACAAGGCCATGCCTCCTAATAGTGCCACTCCCTTTGGAAGCCATTTTCTTCTAAACCACCACAGCTGGCTAAGACAGGCAGGGAGACGAAGGGGTCAAACCCTTGCTTACGTGCATCTTTCAGTCTTAAGATTATTGGTTTCTGTAAGGAGCTTGTGTCACTCCTTGGGTCATGCAGTTTGAGGGAAGAGATCATACACTTAGAATGAGCCTGCTAAATTTCAACCATGTAAGAAAGGTCAAGAGATGTCCCATGTGTAGGCAAATACAATACACTGACATTCTGGAAATATAAACAGGGATCTTGACTGCAGGTAGATCATGCTACACGATTTTCAGGGGTCAGTGCTGTGCTGTAGCAATCCCCTCCTTTCCTGGAGAAAGGTTCCTTAAAAGTCAGGAAGTCAGCCTTCCTAATCTTGGGAAATTCCTTAAACTTGCACGATTCTGAAGCCCCTCCCCCAAGGCTATGCAAACAGCTACAGTTGCTGAAGAGAGATTTCCCAGGTCTGAGCTGTTTGAAGGAGATTCTGACCTGGTGAACCACACACAGGTCATTCAGGGAGCGCCAAGAAAGCAGAGCTCTGCAGAGGAAGGTTTCTTTCTTCATCACTTGTGCTGGGGGATGTACCTGCCTTTAAGCTGCCCATGCTCCTATAAGTAATTCTAATACACAGAGTCCAGGACATATTGGACTCTGATAGAGCTGTGACTTGGATTGTTATTGGTTCTTTGTCTGGTTTAAGGAGACATTTGCTCATGCCTCTCCAGAAAAAGTCACACAAGAATTACAAGGAAAATTTGTAAAGGTGCTGGATCGATGGTTCAGTGGTTAAGAACAGCACAGCAGACATTGTCAGGCAGCTCACAACTCCAGCTCTAAGGGACACCCTCTTCTGGCCCCCTCAGGCACTGCATTCAAGTGCACAAATCCACACACAGATACTGAATATACAAATAATTAAAAGTAAAGCTTAAATTTTAGAATTAAGAAGTTATAAAACTATAAAAAATATTAGAGCCTTTTGTTCAAAGAGCATATAAGGCCCAGTAGCTGAGGGGTCTCTAATTTCAGGTGTTGTTTGACAAACTATGCTTTGACAAGGGGCAGAAATCAAGCCAGGTATCTCTCTCCTGGCTTTTCCCTGCAATCCACATGACTAAGACTGCAATCTCTGTGCCTGAGCATGAGTGAGACATTCTTTACTCTTTAGTCTGGGAGATTTGACTGTGGTATTGGCAATCCTGGTGAGAGTCACCATGATTCTGATCCCTGTGCCTGTACCCAGACTTCCAAGGTGGTCTGAAGTATACACAGGAGGATGGACAGGCAGGGAGGGGTCAGAGAGCACCGCAGTTGACTGCTGAGAGCTCACTTCACAGAGAGACAGGGAAATGGTAGGAAGCAAGATCGCACATGAATGGAGGCATTGTTCGTGTGACCTCGATGACAAAATAAAATTTCAAAGATAATGTTCTTAAGAAATTCAAGCCAGGTGGGGATAGCACACGCCTTTATTCCTAGCACTCAGTAGGCAGAGGCAGGCAGATCTCTGAGTTGGAGGTAGCATGGTTTACAGAGTGAGTTCAAGGACAGCTGGGGCTACACAGAGAAATCCTGCCTCAAAACAAAACACAAAAAAGAAATTCAAGCTGGGCGTTGGTGGCGCACGCCTTTAATCCCAGCACTCGGGCAGAGGCAGAGGCAGGTGGATCTCTGTGAGTTCGAGGCCAGCCTGGTCTACAAGAGCTAGTTCCAGGACAGCCTCCAAAACAATACAGAGAGACCCTGTCTTGAAAAACCAAAGAGCCAAAAAAAAAAAAAAAAAAAAAAGAAAGAAAAGAAATTCAAGATGGCAACTGTAGGGCTTTCAGACCTCAGGTATTACGAGTCTTCTTTCTTGTAATGGTTTAAACTGCAGAATAGCATCAGTTCTGTAGGGAAAGAGAAGAGGGCTGAGGGCCAAAGCCAGTGAAGTACCAACATTCATAGACTGGGCTAACAAAGCATCCTATGGCTGAAGACAAATGGGGGAGGAAGTACTTGGTTTGTGACTCCTCTCTTGGGAAAGCTTAGCAAATACAAATACTCTGGTCACATAATGCTATGAGCATTTTCTCCCACAAACTATATATAGTACAGACAATTCTTTAGGTGTGGCTCCTAAACAGGCCTATGACTTGGATTATTTTTGCAGCATATATTGATCAATTGAAAAAAAATGCATGAGAAGAACCGGAGGAAAGGCATTAACGGATCAAACGGGGCGCCCTAATAATAGACCCTCTGCTGGCCTAAGTAAATAATTCAGTTTCCTTGTGGCAAAGGCCATATCTACATAAAAGACATGTCTCTGCAACATTTATCAAGAAAGATGCAAATGGAATCTCTAAAAGCAGCCTTTGCCTGCTCTCTCTCTCTCTCTCTCATCTCAATATCAACATCCAAAGCTCTGCACTTTTTAAATTAGAAATAGTCTTCTAAAGGAGAATTATTATACTTTTATATAGTACATATATTATATATAAAATATTAATATATTTCTTTCTAAAACTGTACCCTAAGAAGCAGGATTACTGTTTCCTGGTCATTTTCTGAAGAGCAATTTGCACTCTTTTAGTGCACATTGTTTTAGTTATATTCCTATATTCCTTCGTTAATATTGATCTCAATGGTTTCTTCACGTGAGAACATTAAAATGAGTATAGGTCGGTGTACAGTGCTCCCCTAGCATGCTAGGGGTGCTGGGCTGGATTCCCAGCATCTGAGAGCGAAAAGAGTAAATATATGAAAGAATAAAATACACCGTAGAGTTGGTGTCATTGAGCAGTGCAGGTCCATATAATAGGAATGGGCTCAGGAAGCAAGTGCTCCACCAGTGAGGGAGTTCCATCCCAGCGCTGCAGAGAAACGAGTTTTCACCAGTGTCCTTGACAGCTGCTCTGCAGAGGGGCGACTCAAGGGTCCTGCCGTTCTAAATGCTTCCCTGCGTTTTTTGGAGCAGACTCCCTCCGTATCTGCGCCCCAGAGTCCCTGAGTTTTCAGGAAGGCATTCCTTCACTCTCCAAGCCGAGCGGAGAATTCATGTTTCCCCTCTCATTTCTTTGTTCTTCCTGGTACTGTGGTTTCCCACATGGCCCTATTGAAGAGTTTACGCGTAGCCGTGACGTGTTCGGCTTAGTGCCCGGCTTTGAGGTCTGATTTGCATCGCCAGCACCCACTGCTCCCCGCGACCACTCCGTACGATTGCTCCCTCCGGCGGGGACAGCGGACTCTCCATACGCACGTGTCCCCTGCCCCACAGTCATCTGGCTGGTTCTGTCGTCTTGCCCTTCTGCGGAATAGTTTAAAAGCCTTTGCGAACCCCTCGGAGCCGGCCTGCGTCTGCAGCGGCAACGCGTCCGGCAGGCGTAGTCTGGTGAACCCAGCCTCCCCCCGCCCCACTTCCTCCTGGGCGCCCCGAAGCCGGGGCGGTTTGATCTGGGGCGGGAGTGGCGGCCTCTCTCTGGGCATGCTCAGTCTCCGACTGTACGGCGGGGGAAGCAGAGCGCGGGCGGAGTGCAGCAAGCTGCGCCGACAGGGCTGAGAGGAGCTTGCGGCCCGAGCCGAGCGGAGCCGAGCAGCGCCGAGCGGAGCCGAGCACCAGTCTAGGGCCAATCTAGGGAAGACATGCAGATGATGACTAGGAACGTCCTGCTGAACATGGAGCAGGAAGAGGACGACGATGAGGATGGAGACATCGGTGAGTGCCCTGGGCCGGGACGCGGGGATCCGGGGCGGACGCCTCTGCGCGGAAGCCGCGGCTCAGAAGCAACTTGGGGCTTTTTCTGCTCTCGCTCCGGACAGTGTTGCGGGTTCCCTGCTCCCGGGTCCTGGGCACACCTGATCCGGTGCCGCGGAGGCCGCTGGCTGCGGCGCATGCCGGTCCCGCCCACAGCCCCGCACCGGCCCGCAGAGACACAAACAAAAGGGCTGGAGCGGCGGGCGCGGGGCAGGGGCGCGGGGCGACGCCGGGTGGAGGACGGTGGCCCATTTCCACCAGGCCTCCTGCTTGTCAAACTGTTTCTTCTCACCGCCTCCGAACACTTTACAAAGTAAATTTAGGAGTTGGGTGTGGCTTTTCCTTCCTTTCAGATTTTACCCACAAATCATTTAAATCAGAGGAATTTGATGACACCATGGTCTAGGACAAACTTGGGGATTATACGCCAAGACAGCCTCGACTTTCGTTCTGACAGACCGATCTGTCAGACAATCATCTTTCTGGAGAGAACAAATAGTATTCCTTCTTAAAGAGGAGAGGAAAGTGTGTACAGGTTGACCTCCTTGACGCCCCCACGCTGTAAAGCCCAAGTTTCTGATTTACCAGACTTGTGCAAGTTAAGGTCCTGCACCTGGCCACTGCCAAGCAGAAGATGTAGGATGCGACTGTCTAGTGGGATTGGATAGTAAGTGATCATTACATAAAAATACCACCCTTGGGAGCAGCGTTAAAAAGTTACACTCGAATTAGCACCATCAGTTTCTTGGGAAAATATTCATGACTGTCATAGTGAGGTACTCAAGTGAGAATCAAGCTGGAATAGAAGTTGACATAAGCAAGGGTCTCGGTGTAAATAGTCGGCGCCATCAGATTTCAATTTAGAAAGGAAAACTGATTTGGGCTAGCCTCTGTTACATGATTAGGTTCCATGATTCGGCTTCCTAAGTGTGCCCTCAGAGCCTGGCAGTAGTCTGGCTTTGCTTTTAGTGACCGATGTAATTCAGGTTTGTTCCATGTAGTAGAACAGCAGATGCAGTTAATTACCTCTGCCATCTTCTACCTTGGCCTCCAGTATTTAGATTGATACTTCAGTGTAGATAGCAGGCAACCGATTTTGCCAGGCAACAAAGATTTAAGCAGGTTCTGGCAGTTTTTGGTACTTCTTTTATTCAGTTACAATTTTAGTGTAGAGTACAATGACCTTTGCATCAGAAAATGCTTTACCATGCCTGTGTTATGTCGTATACATGATAGTGATAGAATGATAAGCCTTCTTCGAGGTTCCTGAAGCTAGCTGACAGTGGTTTACAGGCTATTTCAAAATGATTCTTGATTTCCAGCTGTGGGAGAGGAGACACTGGTAGAATGAAGATTGTGACAGTAACCTCTGCTTCAAATCTTGTAGTGTTAGAGTTCTTGATTAATATGTTTCTTCATTACTTGTCACTCCTCTGATAGCTGTATAATAGTTTAAAGCACGATTGGTATTGGCATTTCCTGTTGAATTTCTCTTAGCTTTATAATTCAGAGTTGGAAAGCTACTTTGACATGAGGCTCTGGTATCATCAAATTGCAAGCAATAAAAGTAAAACGTTTTTAACTAGATGATAGTATCATAGAGATGTTTCACCTACATGTGTGAAGTCAAGCCTCCTGGGGGACTGGGCTATAGAGCTTTGTAAACAATCAATTCAGGTGGTTCTGAAGCTGTTAGCTACTTGAGTGCCAACTTGGCCTCCTTATGCAGAATGAACCTACATGAAGAACTGAAAATAGTGAACTCCCTACGGTCTTTCTCGTTGACTTACGTCATGGCCACCGGAAATTATGCCTAAAAGGCATGCTAACGAATGAACTTGTACTCTCAATTTCACCAACCAGCGACAGAAATCCTGTCTAGGCAGCAGTTGTGGGAGTGCCCTGGTGGAGACGGTTGTTACTGCAACTGTCTGTTGCTGCAGTGTCCTTGGCAGCTTTGTCTCCCTCCACACGACCCCTTACCTCTAATTACTCAGTGAGTTGATTCGGCATCCTCTCTTCTTGATTTAAACCATAAAAGGAATAGGACAGGTCAGATGGATCAGTGGGCAAAGGCATCTGCCACCAAGCCCAAGGACTTGAGTTCAATCCCTAGGACCCATATGGTGGAAGGAGAGAATAAGCTTTCATATGTTCTATGACCTTCATTCGTACCTTGTCACTCAGCCTCACCCCCAAGACCCTTAAAGAGTGATAGCCATAGCTTTCATGGCAGAATGTAGAAGCTCGTGATTAATATATTTCTTTAAAGCTTCTCACTCCTCAAATGGTTTGAATAGTAGGTTTTGGGTTTTTCTTTCTTTCTTTCTTTTTTCTTTTTTTTTAACGAGACAGGGTTTCTCTGTATTGTTTTGGAGGCTGTCAGACCAGCCCGGCCTCGAACTCACAGAGATCGTTCTGCCTCTGCCTCCAGAGTGCTGGGATTAAAGGTGTGCGCCACCACTGCCTTGCTTTTTTTTTTTTTAAGTTTTATCTTTTTTCATTATCCATGGTTCAAACTCTGCCAAGAGAAAGTGCTTCTAGACATTGAAGCCATGACGAAGAACTCAGGGTTCAGATGGACTGATTTGATATAGATAGTTGGAAGCATTAGGTTTACCATTTATCTTTTTCTGGTAGTTGACTCTGTGATTTCTCACTCTGATTGTCATGCCATTTGGGAAGTGGATAGAGACCATGGGAGGTAACAGTCCGGCCATGCCTCTTCAGACTTTGTTCTCTTTAACTGTTACAGTCTTAGACTCATCTACCCCTGTGAACTCTATTCCCTTGGGCCGCTCCGTGTTTAATCATCCCCAAGTCTAGGACGACTCTGCTGGGCCTCATCAGCATCAGTTGGGCAGCGCTTCTGTGCTAAGTGCAGGACCAGGCCAAGATGCTCCCCTTTCCCAGGATGGGGTCCCTTGAAGCAGGACACTTGTAGAGGGTGGCCTTTATCTCAGAATAAGCAAAACTGTGTGAGGGCGCCGTGGGGAAGGGGTGGGGAAGCTGTGGAAAGTCTGACTCATGCAGGTGTACAAAAGGCAGGAGAGGGTTCCTAGGCACAGACACCAGGGTCAGAGGGCATGGAGGAAAGACCATCCTGTGAAGACTTCACACGTGTTAAAGATCTTGATTCACCTGTAACCTGGGAGCCCCAGAAAGTTGTCATGGAAAGATCAGAACTGCATGCACCTGGTAGCATGCTGGGAAGCAGAGTAGGAGAGAGATGGTCCAGTAACCCTTCCCAGGATTTGGGTTTAGAAGTGACTGTAGTGACCCAAGGGTTAAGGACTATGTCCTGGAGCTTACAGAAGGAGGGCCATCTCTAAGCAGCCAGTTCTAGCTATGGTATCTAGTGTGACTGCCCTCTTGAGTTGTGTGATGGGAAGGATGGGTAGTGTGGTGGGGGACTTTGGGAGTCTGTTAGGTCCTAATTTTCTTGGCTGCTTTGGTTCTGACCATTGCTTTCAACCCCACTTCCTCACTTCCTCCTTCCAAGCCTGATTAGATAAGCTGATAAGGCCATCCCTCGGGCACCCCTGGGGCAGTCTCACATCCCTTGCTCTTGCTTCTGAGCGGTTAGTCTTCATCCTGGTTTTGTTTCATTACCTTTGCGTTTATTATAACTGAAGTCTAAATTTCTTAATGTTGGGTGGAGTTCATTTAAGTGTTGTAGACATTATATAAACTATCTCAAATATAAAGTTTATTTTTTTATTCATGCCCGTTTCTCAACCTCTTCTAAAATATAAATTGACTTTGAGTTTTAAGGTTTCCGGGCTTAGGTAGAAGCCAGCCAGACAATTACTGAAATGATGACACACACACACACACACACACACACACACACACACGTATGTATATATATGTGTGTGTGTTTTCTTATTACTTATGTATATGTGTACATATACATATATGTATTTACCTATTTTTATTTTGTTATTTTGGAGACACAGTCTTTTACAGTGAAGCTGCCTTTGGACTCCGTATGTAGCAAAGGCTGGCTCTGAACTCCCGATCCTCTTGCCTCTGCCTCAGGAGGGTTGGGATTACAGGCATGAGCCACTACAGAGTGACTCACTCTTGAAACAATTTAACATAAGGCTTAGCGGTTTTATGGCTCTGTAGGATTCTCTTCTTTGTTATCTGAAGGACACATACACTCAGTTATTCTGCCTCGTTGCACTCCATATCGCAGTAATCTGTTACTAGCTCTATAATCAAGGGGTGTGTCAGGAGACGTCCTGGTACGGACATGGTACCAAGGAGAAAGCATGTAACCTTGTTGTAGCTGTAGAGAGGTGTGGGCAGCTGAGTGAGCTGGGAGGGATGAGAAGACAGATGATGGGGGAATGATTCCTAGAGGCCAGTGGCTTAACCTCAGGTGGATCCAGTACTACCTTCAGCTTATGTTACATTTGTTTGTGTGTGTGTGTGTGTGTGTGTGTGTGTATACATACATACATACATACATACATATATATTTCTTTAACAAAAAGATGAGAGTTTAAAACAGTGATCAAAGACTTTTTTTTTCTTTTTAGTCTAGTGTTCCACACCTAGTTCCATACCTAGTCATGACTTGCCATCCACATTCTAACTTTTAAGTCAAATAACAGCTTTCCAAAAGGTCCCTAGTCTCTCTCCTCGTTGGCAACCTAATGTTCCTTGTGTGACAACAGAGCTCTAAGAGAATTACTCTAAAAGAGTTTGTGTGATGGTGGGGTTGCCACAGTGGCATACGTTACTGGTTCCTCATTTTTTCCCCCTTTAGAAGCCAAGAAGTTTTGATCAAACACAGCTCCAGATATTTCCCTTAGAGGTATGGTTTTAATTCTGACATTTGTGGGAGATAATGCAGTACTAAGAATTGCATAATACGTGTCTAAGGTAGAGGATGGTGTTGGATTCTGAAGGTGGTATTTCCAACAGACTAGACTGGAATGCGTGTGTTTTAG